ACCCCCCCCCCCCCCCCCCCCCACTAACATCGGTCTCTCGGACATTGCTGAGTATTAAGCCCCCCATCGTTCCATCTAACCTCTATCCTTGACTGTTCTCAGGGAACCCTAGGGTAACGATCACTTCTCAGACTTATATCCAACCTGCACCTCAGCTAGTCGTGATTCGGTATTGAACCCCGGACCTCATGCGAGTCATGCAACTGACCCAACAACCTATTGACCTATACTGTGAAATACTTTGTAACTATGCTCTGCTGGGCTCGAGTAAACCAAACTGTGCAAACCACCCAGCAGTCTCGTGACTACCCCATAGACCAAGAACATCAGGATATCCCATCATTGCCCAGTCCCAACATACAACAACCATAGACTACCCCTTGGGTGGTGCGCAGGCAGTGTCTGTAAGTCGTGCGTCATTCTAACGCCCTACCGGTGTCCATGGGCAAGGCTGCTGATTTGGACCCGCAACCTCATACCACAATGCGCATTTCCAACATGTGCTCTAACCACTGAGCTACATCAACTGGACGGGCTACTCCATCTATTGGTCAGGAGCCGCACCTGCTGGAAAGTGGGCCCAGTGCCCCTTGGATACACCATCTGAATACAATGTTTTTTTGCATATTAGTTCCCAGGGCTGCGGCTGTTGCACTTCGTTCCCTGGAGCCCCATCTTACCCAAGGAGCTGCGAATGTTACCCATCCCTTTCTAGGGCTCCCTCGTTTCCCTGGCCCAGCCCATTGCCTGGAAGTTGCAGGGTATCCCTCCTACTCTATACCTTCCTCTCACGCTAGCACTTTCCAGAATGTATCAGGCTGCACTTATGGCCCGTTGTGAGAGATGGGAAGCAATCGAGTGCCTGTCAGCTCTTCCATTTCAGGGCATTCATTCTACGGAGCGCTTTGCTGTTTCTTCATGAATCACACCATTTTCATTGCCTACATTGTTGTACTCTACAGGGACGCTGAACCCGATTTCCAGCAGGTGCCGCTCCCCACCGATAGAAGGAGCCTCCCCGACAGTGTTGGTGGTGGCTGCTCCTATCAGCACCCCTAGCACTCGTTTGGGTTGTTTTCTCAAAAAGAAAAAAAAGAAAAAAAGAGGGTCGTGTTAGACACTCCTTACCGTGTCCTACAAGATTTAGGACTAGTCCTTAAAAAAAATAAAAATTTTGGCGGTGTCGTTAGATCACTTCTACAAGATCAGCTCTTAGGATGAATCCTAAAAGCTATTCCGCGCGTGAATCTGCGGCCAGTTTTATATGCGTGTACTGAGCCACGACCCCCATGTCCGCCTCGGGTCCAGCAGTGTCTGAGGTGCAGACTCGAGGCCTCCCCATCGCTTCGCGAAAGGGGTGCACGCATCCCATGTCCGCCTCTGCAGAAGTTTCTGATGTCCCCCTATGCAAAAGTCGTCGCCCATGTCCACCTCTGCGGAAGCTGTTAACACTCCACCTCTTCGTGCACCCGTGTGTGGACCGCTACAACGGTGGACTGCGCGTCGAACACCGTCGGATCCCCCCCCTCACCCGGCACCCCACATGCCCCTGCCGGCTCAATGGCTACCGGTTGTGACCGTTCATGGGCCTCCCGCGGTGGAAGACCTGCAATGTCTGTGGTGCGGCGCGACAGACAACTTCGACCCCAGGGCGTCAAACAGTGTAGTGAGAGTGAATTTCTCATTAGTGGACCGCTAAAATTAGCGCTAGGGAGCGCTAACACTCCGTGTGGTCGCAGCCGGAAGGGCCCGGCTGCCCTCCATGCGATAGGGCACCCACGTGGGCTGACAGGGGTAGCTTGAGCCACGCGTTTTGCCCCACGTTCGCGGTGACGCTGACGTGGCAGCCCCGTTAGAAGTGGGATTGGCAGGGGAGCGTGGGAGTTCGTCGGCGCGGATTTCGTGGCAGTTCTTACATGCAGATGGCTTCAATGGGAGACAAGCAGATGGCTTCAATGGGAGACAAGCAGTGAGGAACCGGCGAGTGGATCTCACCCATTCGAGCAGCTCGTTGCCATTTACAGGTGATGGTAGATGCACTGCGCTCACAATTGGGAGCTCGATTTGAGGCTGATGGGGGGGCAGCTTCATCGAACCCGCCGTTTCGGGAAGTGATGAGGAACATGATGCAGATCATCTGGGAGTTGGATGAGGATGGTCTCATGTCATTGAATGGTCAACAGGAGGAGACTCTGAAGCGGTGTTGCTACGACATCTTCGAGGAGGGACAAGATGTGTACGCAGCGCTGGAGGAGGAGTGGTACTTGCACTTTGAGACGGAAGATGAAGATAATACTGACGCGAGCATCATCAACTGTGATGAGATCGGGGAGGGCCAAGCTTGAGGTGATGACGTCCTCGCTATTGACAAACACGCCAACGACAACAATAAATTCGTGCAGGTCCGTGGTACAAACATGGGGATCGTGAGCTTGGGCGCGCGCGACAATAATGACAACAACAACAACAACAACAACAACAACAATAACAATAACAATAACAACAACAACATCAGCAGCAACAATACCTACAGCAACCACGACGCAGAGATTGTGGACGCTGGCAACACCACGATTGTCGTGCGTGACACTGGAACAAGTATGGAAATTGTGAGTTCGTGCACGCCGGACTACAACAACAAAAACTACAACAACAGCAGCAACAAAAACGACATCAAGAACACCAACAACGACGGTGTGGTAAGTATGGTGGGGGTTTCAACTCTCTCCCCCTCCCCCTTCTCTCCCCGGTGTCCTTTCTCCTTTGTGATCGCGTTGATGACCCGGGGGGAGGGCGACAGGGCTGTTTGAACGGCTCGTTCAGCATATTGGACGGGTGTGGGGGAGAGCTAGGGGTGGGATGGGTGCGCGAAGGGGTGGGATAGATATTGGATTGTCTTACCACATCTGATTAGTTGCCACATGGTAATAGGGCAGCTATAGCCGGGGGCCAACACTGCATGAGTCATTAGGGCCTGCAAACGTGATGTCCGGTTTCTTGTTAGGTGACGAGGACAAGAAGTGCCGAGGGAAGCGGCGCTATGGATTTCTTTGTGTGTGACTCGTTTGGGTTCCGCCACGTGGCCTTTAGGTTTTAGCTTTTCGTGAGGCCTGCTCAGATTGCCCCTTCTGCTCAAGGCGATGTATGGTTTTTGGGTTGTTGATGAGTATTTCTGGGTAGGGTATGAATTCATGCATGGGTGGGCAGTCAATCCCCTCATTGAGGGGAATCAATGTTGTTCACTGGTTATACATATGTGCTTGCGTTGCCGCTCGGACGAATTTGTGCGTTTAAATCGGGGTGGCCACGTGGCATGCTTATATGATTTCGAGTTTGCTAAGCTACCTGGGGGGTCATATCCTGGTGGTAAAAATACTAGGATTCGCCAGTGGCAGGCAAGGAGGTGCAGTGGGGGTTCCAAGGTTCTGCTACGTGTGCGTCTCTACAGATAGCTTCCCTATTTGGATTGTTTCCTCCCCTCATCATGGTGCTGCAAGATTTGACTACACGATGGGGTTTCTGAGTAGGGATATGATCTTACAGAGTGATGGGCAACCGTTCCCTCAGTTGAGGGTAATTGACGTTGCTCATTAGGCTAACGTTGCGTGCCAGCGTGTCGATGCATAAGCTTTTCTCGCCTTCAAGTAGGATGGACACGTGGCATGTTCATATGATTTCAGATTGTTCATAGGGACGCTGGACCCCTTTTCCAGCAGGTGTTGCTCCCCACCAATAGATGGAGCCTCCCCGAGCTTGCTAGAGGCGTCTGCTCTTATCAGCGCCCCTAGCATTCACTCGGGCTGTTTCTTGTTAAAAAAAAAAAGAAAAAAAAAGGTGTCCTGCGGGCATCGCGATGCTATGAGAAACACGGTCCTAAAAAATGAAAAGAACCTCGCGAGGTCCGTGAGTTTCTTTTCAAAACGGTCTTGGAGGGCACGGTGTCCTGGCCCTCCGCATTGAGCCAGGCTCACTTTGTTCGTGGACCGCCCCTTTCTGTGGCATACCAAACGTCTGCTCATTACCTGCGTTTGCACCAGGCATGCCTTGCAAGTGGATGATTTTCCCTGCAGTGCACCTATCATACTCAGTGCTCTGCTACATGACTGGTCCAGTTGGCACTCCCACGACAAAAAGGTGAGGGTGCACCACTGGGCCTTCCTTCGGTCCACGCAGGCTCGGCATCCTGCTGTACAGCAGAGCACTACCAGCCTGTGGCTGTGGTAGCCGCTGGGCTTGCCCAGAGACCGAATAATGAGAGACCTGCGTGGTCTTTTCAACTACTCGCCGAGTCTCTTCTAAATGGGTTATGGGATATATACCGGGTAGCAGTCACGATCGGAAAGAAAAAGAAAAGAAAAAAAAGAAGGGAAAGAAAGTTAAGAAAAAAAAAAAAAAAAAAAAAAAAAAAAACAAAAAAAATTAAAAAAAAAAAAAAAAAAAAAAAAAAAAAATGCATGGCCATGGTCCTGGAGAGCCATCTTAACGGGTCATTGGCCACAGGTGCAGAAAGAATCACCCTTTGTGCAAAACATGTATAGGCTGGGACGCAGGGCAATACTGTGGGGACTTTGGTGGCAACGCTGCCTGATGGCGCTCGAGGGGGTGTGGGTGGAGGGAACAACGACTGATACGGGCAATGCATGAGAGGTTGACGTCAACAATGAATTCTGTCGTATTGTACGCATCCTCGTCTGACTTCTCCTCTTTATACTTATCTCCCTCCTTTCATTTTCATCTTCCGGTCTCGTAACTGTCTTGTTCCTCAGCACCTTCGTCGACTAGAATTAGCCTTCTGACCTTCCTCTACCAGCAACAACTGGCGGGGGATCCCGCCTCCACTGATCCTTAGAGTCCCGGTCCAACCACTGCTGCTCACGCTCTGTGGTTCCCGTTGACACTTCTGTCTCGTGATAATAAATTGTCACGTGTATCTCTGCGGTAACCACATCTCTCCGGCATCTCCTTGTCTCTTTGTTCTTGGCCTCAATAATCGCCGCTTGTAGTCTTTGATATTTTCTCACTTCCTCCTTTTTTTCTCCCTCAACATTGATTTTTAATTTTACCTCTCTGCCATCGAAGTCCAGGATCGTGGTGATCCAAGGACTTCCCTCTCCCGATTCCAAGGTCTACCGTACCAAAGACCTCCAGGCCTTTGGTCAATAGCCGCATAAACCTTTGCGGTACGCCATAGTCGCACTTTTGAAGTAGGCTGAGTTCTACGCTTTTGCGCAGACCTAGTCCCTCTTGAATTGCAGGCTAGCAATCACCCTCTTTGCGCTGCCACCCCGACTTACAGACAACAAAAATATGCTTGAGCATACATCAACTAACCAATAGCATGTGAAATGGTCGTCTCTCTTTTTTTATAAGACTCCTATGCGCTGCGATACCCGTGTTCTAAATAAGAGACACAAGCAATCTTTTAAAATCTTGCTCGTTAATAATTAAAATTTGGCGAGCGGTGGTCCCATAATGGGATACCGATCGGTTTCTTCCTTCTTCAAAAGAGGTCATTGGACTACTCCTACCGCGTACCCGTGTCCGATGGCAAGGAGGGGGCTCATGACCTTCCAGGGGGGTGATAAGCCTACGACCAAAGCGCCCGCAGGTGCTCCCTTTTGGGAGTTTTACACCGCGAGGCCTAGCAGGTCACACTCACCGGAACTAAGACACCAGGGATCGGTCAGTCTAGGCCGCCCATGCGTAATTACGAATTTTGAGTTCGAATCGCTCATTCCCCCGTGAAGCGACAAGGAAGGGGACTGGACTGGACTGACTAAAGAAAGGGGGGGAAATACATAACGTCACATTCACCCTAGGCTATTCGATTAAACAAAAGCTACAATCTAAAAACGGTATTTTTTTTTTTTTTTTTTTTTTTTTTTACAATAACACCCCCACCAGCGTTAGTGATGCTGATAAGAGCAGACACCACTAGCACCTGGGGAGAGGCTCCATCTATTGGTGGGGAGCATCACCTGCTGGAAAATGGGTCCAGCGTCCCACATACAGATTGAAGTTAAAGTATACCCGAAGAACAATGTGGGAGGATCCTGCCAGCATTAATTACCCTGGAGTCCAGGGGATTGACTGAGCAGGAAAAAAGGAGGGGGGGAACCTCTTCGCCCTGAACCCGGCACCAGATACCTACTGCTACACACTAGTTCCTCCCTCCCCCTATCTTTTTTTTTTTTTTTAGGATGGCTCGGGAAGATATCAGAAGATATCAGAAGAAGATATCAGAGAAGTTGACTGAGAAGTCTGCCATCGTTACTTGCTCTGGCATCCAGAGGAATAACTTGTGCAGATTGTTGAGAAAGGAAAAGAGAAGGAAGAACCTCTTCGCCCTGGGGTCATTCTGATGCCTACCCTCCAGACTGCTCTATCATACTTCCTACAGTGTATTTGTAAAAAAGGAGCATGTGTAACCAAAAACAAATCACTCGACCCTTGCTTCCCAGAGGGGCACCAAAAAGCAGGGTCATCCTTGAACGATAGTGCGTAATCAAGTAAAAAAGATGGTGCGCAGGCTCGAGGAGGGGGGAGGGGCCGGGTCACTCACGAATCTCAGCAAGGGCGAGTGGGTGTGGGGGGAAGGGGTCTGTCGGAGGACGTAGAGGGAAGGAGGGTTCTATCGTCATCCAATTATTAAACAGCAACCGGTAATCTCGTGACTGTATCCTCTCCTGTTGTTGGGTCCCTTCCTTTCTACCGGTCCATTCCACTCTAGCTATCCCACCTCCTCTAGCCAGTTGGTGCAAAAGGAGGTGATGACTCGCTCTATATCCCTCGTGGTGTGCCATGTCATCCTCCATCTTCGGTAAGGAAGTCAAGCTTGGAGGTATGGAGTCGGAGACTGATAACATGAATGAACACTTCAGAAAATGAGATTCCCCGATAGAGACGAGGGAACTGTTGACGTCACCTATTCTCTAGTACGGTCAACGTTAGTACACTTATCCCAGTTATGGTGAGATGGGAGAGAGCGTACTATCCAACTGCTACATGTGAGACAAGAGCTAAAGTACTGCATTTTTTATGGCATGCATGAGTTTACATGAGAGAGAGAAGTCTGACTAGTGAGAGACGTTTGTCCAAGATGAGGGTGAATCCAATGGTTGATATAAATCTGCTAAGAACGACTAGTGTTGACTGCTATCTACGTGTTACCCCTTTGATGTGGTGAGAAGGGCTGAAGTGTGAAGTGATCACTATCGACGAGTATTGACATGATTGACAAAAGAAGAGAGATTCAGAGTATGTTACACTGTCGGGGCAAATACCCTGACAATAGTATTTGCCAGGGATTTTAAACGTCGGACGTTGTACGACTCTTTCGTTGAATTGAAAGACATGATGAGACTGGCGTTTACCAAAAGTTCATTCAGACCTGACCTATGACAGAGA